GAGGAATTTAAAATGTTTAGGTGTCCAGCATTGGTACATGGTGTTGAAAAATTATCCATGACACTTGTCAAAGATGGTAAGGCAGACTTTATTGAAGTGGTACTAGTACAGTAGGGTTTTTGTAGAGGTCAAGAGAGAGTGGACTCAACTTCAAATAACAATAAAGAGCAGTGGGAATTTATAGCCAAGGAGCAAGGTAGAGTTCAGTGCATAGAAAATTACTGAGGGGAAACACAGGATTAAGAGGGATTCTGGCTAAACCAACTTAACAGAGTTCTCACTGAAGGAAAGAACATTAAGGGGAGCTAGAGAATGAGGACTCGATCAGATATTGAAGATGGTGGGATTCTGGTTAAAATAACTAAGTGGGGTTCTTGCTAAAATTAGACAATATAGAGACAAACATAAAGCCCAAAAGTCAGCCTAGTTGAGAAGAAAGTTCAGAGTATAAATAGTTGTGTCAAGGAAAGAATCTTTGTCAGTGGTGATGTTCTAGAACCTTGATAAAGAAAGAATACAATAGGAGGTTATGGAAAAGAGAATTTCAGGATGGGATATGCTGAGTTTTAGATTTCTGGGACACCAAAGTGGAAAATGTCCAATAGGCGGTTGGAGTTTGGAGATGTACCGATACAGACGTTTCTTAGTGTGTAGCTACTTAAGCAGGAGATCTCCCAGTTGTGAGACTGAGAGAGAGCACTCTCCCAAATGAGCAAGTGAAAAATGTAGCCAAGATCAGAATCCTGAGAAAAAAACCCATACCCAAAGCATAAACAGAGAAAGAAACTTATGAGGAAGAATTAGAAGGACCTCCCAAAACTTGAAGAGGAAACCAGGAGTTTACATGGTCTTAAAAACCAAGGAAGGGGATTTCAGAAAGGAGTAATCAGATGTCAAATAAGATTAACTCTGAGAGTTGCTCATAGCTTTAGCCATTAGGATGGTTACTAGTGACATTTGCAAAAGCATAGGAGCCAGAGAGCATATTACTGTGCATCGAATCTTAAATGGCAGAACATGGAATATACTATACTATGAATAGGCTACTCTTCATGGACTACTACAAATTAAACTATAGTAAATGTTTCTGTCTAAGAAAAAGAAATGAAACAATAGAAAGTGGTACATGGGAAAGGTTTCTGTGTTTTGAGGTATTGTTTTCAGGGTTTTATAGGAAAAGAGGTTTCGTTACAAACATAAGAAGGGGGTTCAGGGGCAAGAGGGTAAAGTTTTAAAAATAATAAGAGCAAAAGGGATTGACAAATATGTAGTCCATGAAGAAATGTGAAAGCATAGGATCCAGAGAAGAGCTGGTAAGTTACTTCTCTTCATGGGGATATAGGTGTCCTGTATTCTGAAACTGACAGAAAGGAAGGAGGAAAGGTCTCATACAAGTATCTTGGTTGGTTGGAAGCAAGTGCTAGAATTCCAGTCTGGTGGCTCTATCTTCTTCTTCTTTTTTTTTTTTTTTTTTTTTTTTTTTTTAAGGTTTTATGTATTTATTTTTAGACAGGGGAAGGGAAGGAGAAAGAGGGAGAGAAACATCAATGTGTGGTTGCCTCTCACGTGCCCCATACTGTGGAACCTGGCCTGCAACCCAGGCTTGTGCTCTGACTGGGAATCAAACCAACGACCCTTTGCTTCACAGTCCAGTGCTCAATCCACCGAGCCATACCAGCCAGGGCTTTCTTCCTTTTTTGTTTTTTATATACTTTTATTAATTTAATTTGTTATTTTTATTTTATTGATTATGCCATTACATTTGTTCTATTCCCCCCCTCCGTTCCCCTCTACTCTGCACACCCCTTCCCCACCATTCCCCCCCTTTAGTTCACGAACACATGTCTCAAGTTCTTTAGATTCTATATTTCCCCTACTATTCTTACCCTCCTCCCTATATTTTCTATCTACTTTCTGTGCTACTTATTTTCTGTACCTTCTCCCCCCTTCTCCTCCTCCCACTCCTCTGTTGCTAACACTCCATGTGATCTTCATTTCTATGGTGCACTCCTGATCTAGCTGTCCTCTTCATTTGCTTTTGTTTCAGGTGTGGTTGTTAATAACTGTGAGTTTTCTGTCCTTTCACTGTTCACCTTTTTGATCTTCTTTTTCTTAGGTAAGTCCCTTTAACATTTCATATCATAAAGGCTTGGTGATGATGAACTCCTTGAATTTGATCTTATCTGAGAAGCACTTTATCTGTCCTTCCATTCTGAATGAAAACTTTGCTGGATAGAGCAATCTTGGTTGTAGGTCTTTGGTTTTCATGACTTGGAATACCTCCTTCCAGCCCCTTCTTGCCTGTAAGGTCTCCTTTGAGAAATCTGCTGACAGTCTGATGGGAACTCCTTTGTAGGTGACTGTCCCCTTTTCTCTTGTTGCTTCTAGGATTCTCTCCTTCATTTTAATCTTGGCTAATGTAATGATGATGTGCCTTGGTGTGTTTCTTCTTGGGTCCAACTTCTTTGGGACTCTCTGAGCTTCCTGGACTTCCTGGAAGTCTATTTCCTTTGCCAGATTGGGGAAGTTATCTTTTATTATTTGTTCAAATAAGGTTCCACTGGTGACTGTTCCTCTTCCCCTTCTGGTACCCCTATAATTCGGATGTTGGAGCATTTAAAGATGTCCTGAAGGTTCCTAAGCCTCTCCTCATTTTTTTGAATTCTTGTTCTTCATATTTTTCTGTTTGGTCATTTTTTTTCTTCCTTCTGGTCTGCTCCCTTGATTCGAGTCCCAGTCTCCTTTCCATTACTATTGGTTTCCTGTGCATTACCATTCATTTCAATTAGTTTAGCCTTCATATGTTCCTCTAATTTGTGACTAAAATCAACCAGTTGTGTGAGCATCCTGATCACCAGTGTTTTAAACTGTGCATCTGAAAGTTTGGCTATTTCTTCATCGCTTAGATTTATTGGCTCAGGGCTCTGAGTGGTTCTTGAGCCATGTTTTGATTTTGATCTGTTTGTTCCTGTTACGTATGAGGAGAGGCTCATACGTGAGGAGAGGCTTAAGTTTTCACCAGGGCGGGGTCCCCAGGTCGCTAGTTTGTGATGCTGTATGTGGGGGTGGGGTCAGAGAGGGAGCAATGGTGGTCCCCTCTGCTCACCCAGTCCACCTCACCGCTCACCCCCGCCTGTTTATCTGAGTGCAAACGTGCGAGCCCTCCACCCTGCACCACGGGCCTGCTCCATCTGTCTCAGTGCTCGCCTCTTCACTGGTTTATCTGCACGCAAATGCGTGACCGACCGCAGACAGCTAGCCCGCACCTGGGGTCTGCGCCCTCAGCTGCCCGCTCACTGCTTGGGCCAGGGGATCTTTTTTGCCCGACCCGCTCCACTGCTGGCTTCACTCTTCTCACCAGTTTAGCGGAGTGGTTTGTTGTTTTCGGACTTTGTATTGTTCGATTTTCTGTATGGTTTGGTTGCGTTTATTGTTAAAACTTTGTTGTTTTTAGATTTGGTTGTGTGAGGAAGCAAAGTATTTCCACCTACACCTCCATCTTGGCAGAAGTCCCAGGGCTTTCTGTCTTCTTTTTTTTTAATAAGCAACTTTAGATCTCTTTGTTGAGTAAAAGAAAGAAACAAAGAAGAAAGGAAGACTAGAAGAAGTATGCCAAATATTAGCAATGATTATTTTTTATTGCAAAACTATAATTAATGATTATTATTTTCTTTAATTTTTCCTGTTTACATCAATGGAAATTTGTATTTTCATAAATGGGTAGGGAAATGTTTAATTAATTGATGAAACTTTAGTAAAGCTGACATGGAAAAGCTCCTCGAAGATGAGTGAACATGATTTTGCCTAGTCGTGAGGACCCAGTGGAAGTTCTGGTTTTTTAGGTGCCCATTGATCTTACTGTGGATGAATTGAATGAAACAGCTAGCTTAACTTAGTAATTACTTTAGAAGTAAAATATCTTTAGAGTGAAAGCAAAGTTTATAGCTTCAGTAACTCTAGTCTCTAACATAATTGAAGTGGTGGGTGGTATAGAAATTGTCCTTTGAGTAAGAACATCTAGGTTTATAGTTCTGAGTATATGCTAGTTGCATGATCTTAAGTAAATAGCAGTCTTTCCAGCCCACTCTTTTCACTTGTAAAATAGGAGGTCCCTTACAAGGGCCTTTCAATGACTGAATGAGACATATATGCAAGTTTCTTTAACAAGTGTAGTCCTTTTACCGTCCTTTCTTTTGCTAAGTGACAATACCTTCACTAAATTTTCCCAAAAATATATATAATTTTTAAATTTTTTTGTTTATATGTAGAATCATCCTTTTAAGGAAAGATATTTGTTTATACCTTTTACTAATTTGTTTGCTGCAGGAAATATTTTCCTCTTGATCTAGCTGAAAAATATTTTGTATTACCAATATCATCTGGTATCAGCACTATCAACATGAAATGAGCTTTAGAAACACCTTTTCTTCGGTTTTAGTTTTAACAGATCTTAAAGCATAAGATTAAATTTGGTTACTCTTTGGAAGAATGCATTGACTATAACCAATTAGCAAATGTTATCCAATAAAATTTATATGAATAGAGTTCTTTAATATCCCAGAAACTGAACATAAATGGAAAGCTAGGGGACTAAAGTAGATAATTTTTAAAGAAACTAGAGAGCAAAAATAACTTATATTTATTAATACATTAATATAAAAATAGTATATAATATTTATATAATGTACATGAGAGCTTAAAGGCATTCCCACAGCTACTAGTGGAAAAACATGATGGTATCCTTATTTCACTGAGAATTAAGCCACACTTTAAATTCCTAACTAATGACCTACTCTACCACTCTGCATTTAAACATTAATTACAAGTTTTCTTGAAGTTAACTCCTATTTGGGGAATAATAAATTTCTAAGACAAATAATAAGTGTCCAAAACAACTAGAAGAAATAACATAGTTTAATTAGTTGTTAATATAAAAGTTAAATAATTAAAATTTTTTGATGTATGGTTATGATTTCTCACCCAAAGTTTTGTTTCCCAAGTTAAATACAATGATAACAGAAAGTAGAAGAAGTGTAAGAAGTCTGAAAGAAGAAATTCAAAAGCTGGATGATCTCTACCAACAAAAGGTTAAGGTAAGAACTTTGCCACAATTTATATAGGTTAGTCAAAGCTGTGTCATGAATGATTGACTTGCTAACAGTTCTGACAATAAACTGACAATTTAAGCTATATCCTACAACTTATGTTGCAGTTTTGTCTTCCAAAATTTACTGTGTGGAGCTTTTTTTATTTTTTCTAAATGACTCTCTGGACTCCTGCTGTCTCACCATAGAATATGTTTACTCTCACTAATGTTTTATGCTTGCATATGTGATTTGGTATCCTTATGTTTTAAACATAATTTCTTTTACCTTTTTATGGAGACGTAGTCTTAAGTACATCTAAAGTTTATACCCCAGTAAGACCTTTCGTATGTGATTGCATATAAAGTGTCATTGCAAAATGATTATCCTGGCCAAATTCCAAAGGTCATTTACATGAAATCTGGAATATGGGTAAAATAATAAGATTCATTCCCCACCACTTCTTAACCACTTTCTGGCCAGCATTTACTTAGGGAAGTACTCAGATGACTCTGTTCATTACCACTTACGCAGTTTATGTGAAAATGTTAACCATCAATACCTTTTACTTACTTAGTTACACCAACAAGGTATCAGGAATTGAAACTTTTCTCTTGACCTGTAGAGCGTACACATTTTTTAAGCAGTGTGAAATCTTTAGAAAATACACCACAATAATGTGATCTACATGTGAAATGTGAGGCATTTGGTAGTCATTTTTGTTTTTTCATATGCCTCTATGACAACACTTGAGTTTTTTCCTTAAAGTACTTAAGTGAGAGTAAAAAACTTTTTTATATTTCATCTTGAGAAACATAAGAATTGATGAATTTGGGTTACTTTGCCTGTTCATAATTAATACATGTGTGAAATAATGGTTGTATAAAAGTTACCCACATTTTGACTTATTAAAAAGTATCTTTAATGCTCATGGAAAAAATTTAAATCGGAGTATCATAAAATTTCTTTCAGTACAAAGTTGAAAATACTGAATTTTAAACAGATCTGTTGAGGTCACATTTATGTTTATAGTATAAGATTCCCAAAGGAGTATTTTAATTTAATATGTCTTACATGTAAAGTAGTAAGCATCCTGAGAATACAAATGATGATGCAACCTGATTTTTTTAAATGCTTACATAAATATTTTAGAATCCACCTGAAATATATAGGAAGTGAGTATCAAAATATATAACCATAACTCTATTCTGATAGGAAGCTGAGGAAGAGGACAATAAATGTGCCAATGAGCTGGAGTCCTTGGAGAAACACAAGCACATGCTGGAGAGTGCTGTTAACGAGGGCCTCAGTGAAGCTGTGAATGAATTAGATTCTATTCAGCAGGAGTAAGTTCATCTCACCAAGATTTACAATGTTTATTTTCAGTTTATTTAACATTCTATAGAATGAGATCTATGTTTATTTGCTTTAATACGTATTGTAGCGCTCTTTGGTTGTTGAGGGAGTGGTGAATAGAACTTAAGCAGAATAGCTTGTAACATGAAGATACTTTCCTCAGACAAATACATTCTGCTGTTATACATATATATATACAAAATACATATAATTATACATATATCTACATATGTGTATATGCAGACAAATACATTCTGCCACTGTTATAGCTATTGCCCCTTCATTTTTAGATCTAATTAGTAAATGGTTTTTAATCCCTGAAGACAACATAAAATTTTAAATCAATTCAAATAACTTTGGCTATTAGCAAATTTTAGTAAAGTTTCACTAAGCTTTAATAAACTTCACTAAGCTCATATTTTTAAGATATAGTTCTTAGAAATTAGGTGTATATAAACTACAATTTTACTGTAGATTACAGAGTTAGTCTGCTATAACACAATATGTGCTTTCGTAATATTCACTACACTATTGTAACCAAGTAAATGGGCCTGTCCACGTGGCACCTCGGTGAATGATCCAGCAATTAACTCTGGAAGGAACAGGTTTTTATTTCTAATATTCTGACATTGCGAACACTCAGAGCACTTATGCTTGGAGCCCTTCTTTCCCTCAAGACCCAGCACTTCCATTGTTTCCCAAAAGGCTATAAGCCAAAAGCTCCAAAAATTCCCCATTTTCTTATTTTAAGCTAGCTATGCAGTCTCACAGCAGCTTTTTTCTTCAGGATCTGGGGTGTGTTGTCATTAGCCTCCATGTTATAGTCCAGGAATACATATGCCGTGGTGCACTGGATTATGGTGAAGTCCAGGAAAGGCACACGTTTCAAGAGTCCAGATAGAGTTCAGGTATACAAGGCAGCAGGTCAGTGTTTTGCAAGGCAGGATCCTTGGTGGCTTTGGAGTCTGCTGGAGTGGGCACGATTGACGCAGCATGCCTGCTTTCTCACTAGCCCATGCTGGACCAGCCTCTACAGCCGGCATGGCTACTATCTTATTACTGGCAGCATGGTTTTACTCTAACTATAAGCTTTTTGTTTTTCACGTGGCTCTTCTTTCCCTATTGGCAGTGTGGCTTCTTTACACCCCTTCACCATGGCTTTCCTTGTGGCTACTCACCCTTAGATTTCAATCCTGACCTAGAGCCATCTGCATGACCTTATTTTCTACTTTTTCCACAATGAGCTATATTTGCCAGTTTCCCGATATAGTTTACATTCTTTCCGCTGCCATTCCCAGTCAGGGCAAGAGTGACTTAGTGATCCAGAGGTACTACCCCTCTGGCGATACCACGAGTAAAGATATATCCTGAAAGTTATGCCCACCTTGCCCCGAGGCCGTAGCACAGCTATTATTTTGCCTCTGTTATGAAAAGTATCATCTGCTCCCCCCACCCGCCAACCAGAGCTATAGGGACTTTGAGGGACCATCAATCTACACTGTTTCAACTCCCCCCTTTTTGATTTTGGGGTCTTTATAATCTTATAAAGAACAATGGGTGAAGGTGTTAATTTTTTGGAGCTACCTTCTGCTGGCCATGGCCATTGTTCTACCTACACCTGGGTTCAGTAGTTCCTAACAAAGTGGGGGTGTGGAGCAGAGCAGAGGATGCCTTTGTGCATGAGGGAAGGACCTTGCAGAGTTGAGGTCACTTGGCTTCCTCCCCAGGCAATGGCATGCTTGGTGTCCAAGGGCTGGCACGTTTGGACACATTGGCATTCTTGTTGTATTCTGGGGGCAAGGGGGTTAGAAAGCACAATTAAAACCCTAAAGACTAAATGTCAAAGGCAGGGACCAGTTTTTTTCAGTGTCTCGCATTAGGAAAAGAGTGGCTTTTTTGGAAAAGGAAGCCAGTTTTAAAGTGAAACCCACAGACCACACCAATATTTCACCAACCAACCACTTAGTTCAGTCAAACTGTTGAGTCTTAGGAGGTAGAGCTGCAGGTGGGCTTCTTAAGTGAGGCCTATATTGCAACCTATTACTTAGATAATGAGATCATAGGCTTATTATATGCCTTGTGAAAACAGAAGGAAGAACACACACGTTAATTTATACAGTTCACAAACCTGTTTTTTGAGACTGTCTTTTGGGAAGACATTTAATTGCAAGGCCCTTGATAGCATGCCATTTAACAATGGCAATTTGACAGATCCTTCTTGTATGTAAATTGAGCATTTTTGATGATGTCACAAACCTAGTTTTAACTTTCAAATTAAAAAAAAAACTTTGAAGACAGCTGCACCAGTTTAATGTCCAACACTGAGCATTATGATTTTCTTGAATTACGATTTTTCTTCCTAAGATTACCCTTATTGTCATTAAAGGGACTGCATTAAGTCCAGTTTTAATTTTTCCTGTTCTTTTCCTGTTCGATTGCAAGAGCAGCAATTGATTACATATGATTTTTAAGTCTGCTTTGCTGGAATTTACACAAGGAACCTTTAGATTGACTTTTTAGTCCAGCCTTCAGGGCACAGAAGCTGAGCCGCACATCTGCCATTTGGCCTTGCCTCTACCACCTGCTTTTTTCAAGACCTTAAGTCTTCCATTGTGCCTTACAGTTTCTTCTAGCCATTTGTCAGAAAAGCTATCTTTGACCTTTGTTTCTTTCCTGGAACAGACTGCCAGGAACCACACAACCAGTCAAGGTACCAGGCAGGCTTTTTCTTGTGGACTTTTAGTAGCTTCAAAGTCAATTACAATTCCTTAGGGGGTGGTTTCCCCCCAGAATATATCCTGCAAGTCACACACACTTTGCCTGGAGACTGTAGCACAGCTATTATTTTGCCTTTGTTATGAAAAGTATCTTAAGCTATATTATCTGTTACCCCACCCCTCAACCAAGGGCTGTGGGGGCTTTGGAGGCCTCTCAGTCTACACCCTGTTTCACTACAAAAAAACACCTGCAATAAAAACCACAGGACTTATGGGAAAATTATGATTGGGGCCCAACCTTCCAAAACTTTGTCAGTTATGCATAAACAAAGACTGGAACCTAATGAAAATGTTAGCACAATTGTAAACTTGTTAAATATTTTTTTAAGAAATACCTAAATACCACAATAAGTAGTATACTGTACCTTTAAAAGACCTAAACTTTATATGGGGAAGTGGGCATTCAAAGGGTTGTACCTTGTGACTTAACGAGAAGAGGTAGAAGGAGGATTATCTGAAATTAAATAGAAAATTGTAGCACCTGATATGGATGCATGTGGCTCATCACACATTTAATGAACTGTAGGAGCTAGTGCCCTGTCTGGTGTATGCTTGTATGTTTTGCGTTTTATATATTTCTTTGCATTTGGATTCAGCTGAGTGTAGTGCTCTGCATTCCATTCACATTACGTTTCTCAAGGAGGGAATTGGCATAAGCAAATGCAAAATTTGCGTTATGCTCTAACTGCTACCTAATATATTCAGTTGTGACAAATACATGTTTCCAACAAGCACTATAGCAGACGTAACTGGACACTTACTTTTTTAAAATATATTTTATTGATTATGCCATTACAGTTGTCCTATTTTCCCCCCTTCATTCCCCTCCACCCTGCACACCCCTCCTCCACCATCCCCCCTTTAGTTTATGTCCACATGCCTCAAGTTCTTTAGATTCTATATTCCCCATACTATTTTTGCCCTCCCTACTGTCTATGCTACTTATTCTCTGTACCTTGTCCCCCCTTTTCCTCCTCCCACTCCTCTGTTGCTAACCCTCCATGTGATCTTCATTTCTATGGTTCCACTCCTGATCTAGCTATCCTCTTAGTTTGCTTTTGTTTTAGGTGTGGTTCTCAATAACTGAGTTTGCTGTCCTCTCACTGTTCATCTTTTTTATCTTCTTTTCCTTAGATAAGTCCCTTTAACATTTCATATCATAAGGGCTTGGTGATGATGAACTCCTTGAATTTGACTTTATCTGAGAAGCACTTTATCTGTCCTTCCATTCTAAATGAAAGCTTTGCTGGATAGAGCAATCTTGGATGTAAGTCCTTGCCTTTCATGACTTGGAATACCTCTTTCCAGCCCCTTCTTGCCTGTAAGGTGTCTTTTGAGAAATCAGCTGACAGTCTGATGGGAACTCCTTTGTAGGTGACTGTCCCCTTCTCTGTTGCTGCTTCTAGGATTCTCTCCTTCACTTTAATCTTGGGTAATGTGATTATGATGTGCTTTGGTGTGTTCTTCTTTGGGTCCAACTTCTTTGGGATTCTCTGAGCTTCCTGGATTTCCTGGAAGTCTATTTCCTTTGCCAGATTGGGGAAGTTCTCCTTTATTATTAGTTCAAATAAGTTTTCCACTTGTTGTTCTTGCTCTTCCTCTTCTGGTACCCCTATAATTCGGATGTTGGAACAGCTAAAGATGTCCTGAAGGTTCCTAAGCCTCTCCTCATTTTTTTGAATTCTTGTTTCTTTATCCTTTTCTGTTTGGTCATTTTTTTCTTCCTTCTGGTCTACTCCCTTGATTTGAGTCCCAGTTTCCTTTCCATCACTATTGGTTTCCTGTGCATTTCCCTTCATTTCAATTAGTTTAGCCTTCATATGTTCCTCTAATTTGTGACTAAAATCAACTAGTTCTGTGAGCATCCTGATCACCAACCAGTGTTTTGAACTGTGCATCTGATAGGTTGGCTATTTCTTGGTCACTTAGAGTTATTGGCTCAGGGGTTTTGAGTTCTTCAGCCATAATGTTTTGGTCTGTTTGCACCTGTTACATTTGAGGAGCGGAGCCTTAGGTGTTCACCAGGGCAGTGCCACCCAGGTTGCTGGTTTGTGATGCTGTATGTGGGGGCGGGGTCAAAGGGGGGCAATAGCGGTCCCCTCTGCTGCTTCCCACCGCTGGGACCTGTGCAGTCCATCTCACTGCTCGCTCCTTCACCAGTTTTTCTGTGTGCGAATGTGTGACCAAGGTCTGCCCTCAGTGAGTCCACCTGCTACTCCACACCTGGGATCCACCTACGGCTGCCTGAGCGCCTGGGTCGGTCAGGTGGATCTTTCCTGCCCCACCCTGCTCCTCTGCTGGCTCCGCCCCTCTTACCGGTTTGGCTGAAATGTTCGTTGTTGTCAGACTTCCGTATAGTTCAATTTTCTGTGTTTTGGTTGTGCTTTTGTTACTAAAACTTTGTTGTCTTTAAATTTGGTTGTGCGAGGAGGCACAGTGTTTCCACCTACGCCTCCATCTTGGCCGGAAGTTCCTGGACACTTACTTTTTTAGAAGTTCTTTACTATCAAATTATACACTGTCAAGTTTTCCCTTTTGGTTTCCCTTATTAAAACTTACATAAGAAACATTTTAGGCACAATGCCATAAATATAACTAAAACTAGTGACATTCCTTATAGAATTTTTTTGCTCTCGTGTGTATATAATTCTCTACTGCAACCTGTATAAAGTCAGTATGTTTATTAGTTAATTCACAGGTTCTCTAAGTGTCGCGTGCCCTCCAAATAACTTTTAAAAATCTTACTCTAATGTTGGAAGTGTAACCTTTAAGAAAAACAGATCTTCATTTTCTTATTTGTAGCCTAGAGATAGAAAATTTGGTTGAAGGGGGTTTTTTTTGGCTTGCAGTTTTTGTTTTGAATTTGAATGCTATCAAACAAGACTCCTGCTCTCTCATTCAAGCCCTTTTAATTTCTCACCCCAAAAAAACATTTGTAAAGAGGAATTTTTACTATAAATGCTATTATGCATGATAATCACAGAAAAAGATTAGATCAAGAATTAAGCTTACAGTTTTGGAGACTCAGGTAAGACTACTTGCTTCCAAGTTTTATATGTTGAAGAATGAAGATTTGCTGTTTTGTTGCTTACAAAGGATATTTGAAAACATTTTTATTTCTGTTTAATGATTGAAAGCTGCACCTCTGTGAATTAATCATACATACAACACACAGCACATATTCCCATCACAGCCTGGTTTTGTTGGTATGAAAAGGAGAAGTGAACTAACTAGAAGTGGTATACTAAGTTTTTTCACCAGGCAACTCACACGAGAGTTTTTACCCTACAGATACCAACTAGTTGTACAGACCACAACTGAAGAGAGACGAAAAGTGGGAAACAACTTGCAGTGTCTTTTAGAGATGGTCGCTACCCATGTAGGGTCTGTGGAGGTAAGTGTGTGAAGGTCTTTTCTACATTCTAAGAAAGTTTTTAACGTTTTTATACATTCCTCATCTCTTTTTACAGAAATTAAATGATAAACTTCATTTCTATGGGAATTATTATCTAGTATAAATTTATCAGAAGAATCCTGTCTAGCAGTGGTGAGAGGGGACACTTGCACATCTTATAAAGTAACCTGTTTTGTTCACATAAACAACAGTGATTATTGCATCAGCGGTATAGAATGTGGTACCAAACCTCATTCTACTCACTCTAAACATTTTAGCACACTTAAGATTTCATTCAGATGAAAGAGCATGTTATAACAAATATTTTTCCATTCTATTAATTTCATATAAACACAGAATCAAGTATTTCTGAAACATTATGTTTCAGAATATTAAGAAACATAAGGTGAGGATACCTTATCCTCACCTTTCACATAACTTGAAAGTTTAACAATAAAACTATTTTTCCAACCATCTCTACAGAATACAAAACCTAAGGTAATGCTATACTCCATAATTCCTAGGTAATTAGTCAGGTAATATATTTCCAGTTGGGAATGGTTTAAGAAAAGAAGGTTCATTATGTTACATTAATAGACTTGCACACACTGAGAGCAGAGCTTGTGATATCCTGCCTTTCCTCATCTCTCCTGAATGACCCGGTCTGCTGCTTTCTTACGTGCCAGTGCTCTTCACTGCTCACTAGTTAAAAACTAAGAAAAGCTTCCTAGATACATCAGAAAACCAGGATTCTACCCATTTCTCCTAATTCAGCAACTTAGTGGCTCTATAGCTTTTAATGAATCGTTTTTCAACCACAGACTGGAAAATGATTTGAGTGATTGATTACTTTCTCATTCTCCCATATATGCTGTGTAATAGTTTTTTAAGAGAAATATTTCTTCATAATACACAATTGTTGGCTTAGATTGAGAAAGTCTGCTTGTGTGTATCATTTGACTCCTCTTGGTCTTTACTTTCTTCATCAGTAAAAACAAAAGGATTATACTAAATAATTGCCAACATTCTTTGTATCTCTATTGTAGATAACTATTAGTCTGCCCTTAGTGTTGTTAATCTAGTAGTGATTTATCACTATGGATATATGTGAAAGGTAACCACAACTATTAAAGTTTATTTTATTTGGAAATAAAGTCTTTGTGGATATACTTATTTAAGATGCAGTCATACTAGATTAGGGTAGACCTGAAATCCAGTGACTAGCATCCTATAAAAAGTCCATGTGGAGATAGAGGCAGAAATACAGTGACGTGGCTACAAACTAAAGAGTGCCAAGGATAACTGGAAGAAGCTGGGAGAAGGCAAAGGATTCTTCCCTAGAACTTTCAGAGGGAACATAGCTCTGTCAACACCTTGATTTCAGACTGCTAGCTTCTAGAACTGCGAGAGGATAAACTTTGTTGCTGTAAGCCACCTAATTTTTGTGAAGTAAATTTGTACTTTGCTGTGTTATTAAATTTGAAATAGTAAAACAAATAACCTGGGGTATTAGTTTCCTATTGGTACCATAACAAATTATTACCAGTTGAATAGCTTAAAGCAACACAAATTTATTTCTTCTATTTCTGGTGGTCAGAAGTCTAAAATGGGGCCTCTGGCTACAGTTCTTCCAGGGGCCACCTGCAGTCCTTTGGCTTGTGGCCTCTTCCTCCTAGCATAGCTTTCCTATCCTCTGACTTCTCTTCTGTCTTTAGATCTTCTCTCTAATTGTCACACTGCACGTTCCCTCTTCCAAGGACCCTTGTGATTATGTTGGACCTACCAGTGTAGTGCAGAATAATCTCTTCTTGTGATCCTTAACTTATACCTGCAAAGTTTCTTTTGCCATTTAAGATAACAAATTCTCAAGTCCTGGGGATTAGGACATGGACATCTTTGTAGAGGCTGCTACTCAGCCTACCGTGCCTGGGAACAAAAAAATTCATTAATGGTAAAGTGTATAAGTAAATGGTATATTCCTTCTATAGAATACTGTACTGATAGTATGTATTAACATGAATGAATCTTAAAATACTGGCTGAAAAAAAAAGTCATAGAACATTACCTTTAATATAATTGAACAAATAGGAAGTCGAAACCACGTTCCACTAAACTATATCATTTAGAGTTACATACACTTGTATCTCTGAGTGTGTGTGCGTAGTATGTAAAGAAAAAAGCATTTAGGAAAGTGGTTGCCTCTGGGGAGAAAAGAGGAAATGATTTGGAAAGAGCACAAAGGGTCCTACATGGTGGGTACAAGAACACGCCTTTTAATCCTTTTCTTACAAAGGGTGTACTCTTGTCTGTGAATTTATGGTTTTACATTAACAATTGCGAATTGTTTCCACTAGAAACACCTTGAGGAGCAGATTGCTAAAGTGGATAGAGAGTATGAAGACCATGTGTCTGAAGATCTTTTGGAAAATATTAGAGAGATTGGAGAAAAGTATAAGAAGAAAGCTGCTCTAATTAAGTCTTCTGATGAATGAAGATTAAAAGTTATCCAAGCAAGAACTTTGTAAATAGTATAAATTTTGAAATTCCTTTGTAGGTTTGAAAAATCTCTAACATTCTATACCTCTTCTTACAATGAAATCTCATGAACACATTTTCCCTTGCCTGTGAGATATTTTATAGCTTTTATATGTCTAGTTCATTAACTTAAAGTATATATAACCTAACATTATAAAAAATTGCCTGTTTGTTCTCTTTAGATATAAGGACCACTTGTATTATGTACCCAGAGTTAATAAAATATTATCAATAAAGTGGTTTTTTCTTGATTTTTCTGCCTGTTTTCAGATAGTTAGAAAGGTATTTTGATCTAAACCAAGAGTCAGCAAACTGCCTATGGGCCAAATCTGGTCACCCATTCATTGAAGTATTGTTTATGACTGCTTTCATATTACAATGGCAGGGTTTAGCATGTGCAGCAGAAACTATATGGTCTGCAAAGTCAAAAATGTGTATTATTCTGGCCCTTTATAAAAAAATTACCAGTCCCTGGTATAAATTATGCAGGGTTGGTATTATTCAACTGAAAAACTTTCTTAATGACTTTGCACCTATAGTTTAACCCACTCTTTATTCAGAGCCAAGAAGCTAAAGTTCTTTCTGGGGTTTTGCCATCTTTACTCTGAAATAAGTAGAAGAATATGGAATGTGAGAATCAGAAGAAATAATATAACCTAGTTCAACTTCATTTTAGAGATGAAAGTTCACTCCTAAAGAAGTTCTGGTTTATCTCAGGTCACAGCTCTTAGAGGTCAAAGCCACACTGGAATTTATTGAGTCGGTGTGTAATCCTGAGGACAGCCACAAGAGCCATGAAATCTGAATATGCTGGATGCTGAGAAAGTGTTGCATTCTGAGATTTTAGACAGGTCTAAACTGTTAGGAAGCTCCTTTAACATCTGCCTTCAGTTCAACTGTATTCTTTAAACTTTGTTTCATCTCTGATGCAACTCCAAATAGCAGGAAAAATGAAACACACTATACAAACTTAACTGAAATTCTAGCTAAGCTTTATGGAGGGCAGTCTGAAAGTGCAGTTGGGTTGTAGCTGGAGATATCTAGCAGTTATGGCAAAATGGATAATTACCAGTGTATTCAAGAATTTTGACCACTGATGTCCTACAGAACTTCCTCCAGTGATGGATTTTATCTGCACTATTCAGTATGACACAGTATTTATTGCATACTCAAATATATGACAAAATTAAGACTACTCAAAGGTTTGCCACTCAAAACTGTGGAAACACCTTCAGCAACACCTGGGAGCTTGGTAATACAGACTCTTGGCCCCACCGCAGATTTACTGAGTCAGAATCTGCACTTTTATAGTGTACTGATTTAAACTGCATATTTGAACTTTTCATAGGTTTGATGTATTTATGCACAGTCCCATAAAATCATAGTTGATCTAATGTATTTATCATCACTAAAATTTCTTCATGGCCATTTACATTGCCCCATCTGACACCTATCCCACACCACTGCCAGGCAAGTGTTTGATCTCTTTTCTGTTACTATGGATGGCTTTGCATTTTTCTAGAATTTTATGTAAATAAAATCATATAATATATACACTTGCATGGCTTCTTTATAAATATTTTGAGGTCCACATTGCACTGTATATCAGTAATTCACCCTTATTACTGCTGAGTAGTATTCCATTACAGGAATATATTAAGGTTATCAATTTACTATTGATTGACATTGGGTTGTTTGCAGTTTTGGAGTATTACAAAGTCATTGTGGACATTGATATACAAGCATTTTAGACAAGTCTAAATTGTTAGGAAGCTCCACCACAAGTTTTATTTCTCTTGGGTAAATAGCTGGGAGTGGAATGACTAGTTCATATAGGTTAGGTGCGGATTTAACTTTCATAAAACAAAATGTATTCTAAAGTGTTGGGAACCACCCTGCCTGGTTTCAGGAGTTGTAACCGTCCCCCATGGCTAAGGCTGAGTGAGCAACCTTCGGACCATAAGCCTCTAAGGAGACAAAGCTTATATCCCTGGCAGGAACACTGCTACTACTTCTTCCATATCTGGCCCCCAACACTTGGTCAGTTAGTCAATGATGGGTACTACCCCTCAGAGGGCGGGCAACCTAAACCGGACACAATCACTTGGGAGGCCCTCAAAAAAGGACTGGGGGGGCGCTACATCAAAGAGGGAGTGATGGGCCCTCACCCCTGGGCTTTGACAGCCTGAGTCCTCATTTCTCCTAATTCCTTGGCTATCTGCCTCCTCTACCTGACTTAAGCCTGAAAATAATGGCTGAGGGTGGTACAGCCCTATGCTGGGAATGGCGGGCTCCCTGGGTGACCAGGCCTGAGAAAGGATATGTAAAATCCTGTGAAGCCTGCTTTGATAAGAATGCTCTTAGTTAAATGATAAAGGTCCGAACAGAAAATGAGTTTGTTTCCCAAAGTTTTGTAGCCTTTTAGCAGATAGACCCTGACTCAGAAGAAGCCCTAATAGTACTTTGTATGCTATCCATTGTTTGAGCCTTACTGCCTGACAATGATTAAGAAGCTATACCTGTATTCCTGCCCAAATTAAACCCAATAAAAGCCTGTCTAGGCAAGGGTCAGTGTGCTATCCCCTTGAGAGAGTTGCCAGGCCGCTCCGAGGCGCTCCCCCATTGAGGGAGTAGCCGTGACGTCCCTTTTCCTCCACAGGACTTGGTAGTCTGTGAATTTGTCTTGATTTTCCATCCATAACGCTGCGGGCACTGCAGGCCAGTGCATGTGTCACTAAAGTGGTGGTAACATGTTTCTGCAATGTATGAGAGTTCCATTTGCTCCACATCTTTGCCCACTCTTGGTGTGACCAGTCTTTTTAATTTAAGCTATCCTAAGTGTGCATGGTTCTATCTTACTGTGATACTAATTTGCATTTCCCTAATGACCAGTGTTGTTAAACATCTTCATGTGCTTATTTCTCAGCCATATAAGAGGGGACCCCCCCAAAACTGGAATTTATTTATAAAAAATTATATTTATTCTTACATGTTTAGATTTCAGTCACCTGCAAAGTGCTCTCTATTTGATGCAATACGCCTATCAAAATGTTTTTTTCACTGCTCAAAACAGTTTTTGAACTTGTTGCTTTTGATGCCTTTTAGGGCTTCTTTTGTTTTTTGTTTCACCTCTTCCACATGAGCAAAACATTTCCGTTTAAGGAATTTTTTCATCTGGGCGTGGGGGAAGGCGCTTAGGGCAAGTTCATACCACTTTTGGTAAAAAAAATGCTGAACACTCAGCAAGGTGCGGGCAGGTGCGCTCATAAATTGCCCATCATGAAATGGACAAACGTGTTGGAAGTCTTCAAAAAAATTCACTGAAGCCTAAGGCCACCTTTCACAGCAAAAGCAACTGGTACGCTGCTGCAGATGGATTCCTAGAATTCTAACCTAGCACAGGAAGCCTGTACTACAAGGCTGCCTGAAGGTAATTCTGGGTCCCCCCTCATGTATCTTCTTGGGGACATGTCTCTTCAAATATTCGCCCATATTTTTATTGGATTATTTCTTATTACTGAATGGCAAGAGTTTTTATGTATTCAAGACACAAAGTACTTTGATACACATTTTGTAAATATTATCTCCCAGTCTGTGGCTCACCTTTTAATTTTTTTAACATTTTTTATTGTTGTTCAAGCACAGTTTTCTGCCTTTCCCCCCAACTCCTCCCCACCAGCCTCCCCCATTTCCACCCCACCTTGTTTTTGTCCATGTGTCCTTTATAATTGTTCCTGCAAACCCTTCACCCTTTTCCCCTGTAATCCTCTCCTCTCTCCCCTCTGGTCACTGTTAGCCGCTCTCAGTATCAGTATCCTTAGTTATATTTTGCTTTCTTGTTCATTTTGTTGATAAGGTTCCACTTACAGGTGAGATAATATGGCATTTGTCTTTCATCGCCTGGCTTATTTCACTTAGCATAATGCTTTCCAGTTCCATCCATGCTGTGGCAAATAATGTCTTTTGAAGAACAAGTTTTAAATTTTGATGAAGCCCAATTTATTGTTTTTTATACTTTCTGCATTTTGTGTAGTATTTAAGAAATCTTTGCCAAAAGCACTGATTTTCACCTGCGTTTTACTCTAGAAATGTTATACTTTTGACTACTGAATGAAAATCAGAGTCCAAATCTGCATTTTACAAAGGTCCCCAGGTTGTTACTATGCCCACTAAATTTTGAGATGCATTACTTTAAAATAGTCAATACTAGTTAAATATCTCTGTAATGTAATACTACTTATAAGTGACTTTAGGAATGACAGAAAAATTATACTAAGTTCAAAGTGATAACCTAAGCACAACTTGGAACATGTTCAAGAAACCAGAGTGACTAGTGTGTTTACAGGGCACTTGCCACTTAACATTTTTTACCTCAATCTACAAGTTTTCTTCTGAATTCCTAAAGATATGCTTTATCCTCAGAACTAATACCATTGAGACAGATATTATCCCAGTTAACAATTCTGAAAATCCTAACAGTTAGAAAAGGTTTTAGATAATACAGTTCAACCTCTCAATCAATGAGGAATACCTCTCATGGCATTTAAAATTTTTTTTCATTTATTGATTTGAAAAAAAGAGAAATATGGATTTGTCATTCCACTTATTTATTCATTGGTTGCTTCTTGTATGCACTCTGGCAGGAGACTGAACCTGAAACCATGATATATTGGACAATGCTCTACTCCACTGAGTACCTGGCCAGGGCCTCTCATAACTTTTTTTTTTCTTAAGATTTTATTTATTTATCTTTAGAGGGGAAGGGAAGGAGAGAGGGAGAGAAATATCAATGTATTGTTGCCTCTCATGTGTCCCCTGCTGGGAACTGGCCTGCAACCCAGGCATGTGCCCTGACTGGGAATCAAACCATGATCCTTGGGTTAGCAGGCCCGCACTCAATCCACTGAGCTACGCCAACCAGGGCATCATGAGTTTTTTTGTATGTGGTTAATTAGCCCTTGTCTAAATACTTCCAATGATAGGACTGCTTCCAAGTTATTACTTCAAAGCATTAAATAATTGATAACCCCACTGGCCAGAAAGTTTTACCTTCTTAAAATCTACCTTCGTGTAACTTTGAGTTGTCATAGAATAGTTGGGTTATTATACTTTCCAGTTCCATTTGGGGGCATCAGTTATTTATTATACTTGATCCTGTGTCTGATTAAATCAACCTCTCCCCAGTTGTTTTTATCTCTTATTTTACCTTTCTTTCAATATTACCATTTTAAGTCTTTCCTCTACAGAAATATTTTCTTTCATTTTTAATTTTGAAATAATTTGACTTTTGAAAGTTGTAAAACTAATACAAATTCTCCCTTTCAATTTTCTAATATTTTATTCACCATTCTCTCCCCCCTATCTATTTATTTATAGATCTTGACTTGCTTGTGAGTAAACGACAGACATTGTACCCCTTTATCTCTAAATGTGTTTCCTAAAAACAAAGAAAATCTTCTACGTAACCAAAGAACAATGATCAAAACAGGAAGTTAGTGTCTGTACATTAGTTACTGTCAGTACATTTTTAAACACTTTAGTAATTTATAGATTGTCCCTCAATTTTGGTTTAATGTGTTGATTAGATAGGGTGTGTATTCTCAGAGGACATCACAGAAGTGATGTCAAATTCTTTTTAGCACATTGCATCAAAAGGTACATGATGTTCGTTGGTCCCATTAATGTTAACCACATCACTTCGTTTTGGTGGTATCTACAAGGATACTGATGTCTTCCCTTATAATTAAGTGAGGAGGATAGTGTAAGACTAAATATAGTATTCATGATCAAACTTTCTCCTACTGGTTTTAATGTCTGTGTCTCTTGAATAAATTATTATTATGATGGTTACCAAAAAGTGATTTTTAATGGACATATAGCATTATATTAGTTCCAGGTATATAATGGTTTAATATTTGTATATATTAAAAAATGAATGAGCCCTGGCTGGGTGGCTCTGTTGATTGGAGCATTATCCCATACACCAAAAGGTCATGGGTTCGATTCTCAGTCAGGGCACATACTTAGGTCATGGGTTTGTGAGTTTGATTCCCAGTCTGGAAGGAGGGAGGATATGGGAAGCAACCTACTGATGTCTCTTTCTCTCTCTCTGTCTCTCCCCCTCTCTCTCTAAAATCAATTTAAAATAACATATCCTTGGGTAAGGATTAAAAAAACGTGAATAACCACAATCAGCCTAGTTACCATACATCATCATACATTGTTAGAATTCTTTATCTTGTAATGAAAACATTTAAGATCTACCCACGGCAACTATCAAATATACAATACAGTCTTATGAACTGTATTGTACATTAAGTGATGTGCATTAAGTTTATTTTCAATTACAGTAGACATTCAATATTATACTAATTCATGTCCACAGCATAGTGGT